AAATCCATTGCAGATTGGTGGATAGGGAGGCTCACACTCCTTCACCCACTCCAGGAAACATCTGATTGAATTGTTAAATCTGCCCTCTGAAATGGATTGTCCCTACTGAAAAAACTCTGGCCCAGGCATTGATCCCAAGCCCCACTGGTTTGGACCCTGCTTGCAGGACAGGCATCTGACGAGCACACTGCATTGCAGGCAGGTGTGTTTGCAGGTCTCTGGTCACCTAGACTAACTTTAAGGATCCTCATTGCTCTTTCACAATTCCTTTAACATTTGTCAACTCTTTTAGCGATTATTACACCTTTTCACTTTATTCAATCCTTCAACTCTTCCTCCACCCCACTTATTCTCAGTAAATTACCTTATCTCCCACACACTGAGAAAATGGAAGCTATCTCATGTGAATGCCTCTTCCTATCCAAATTGCTCTCCAGTTTTTAAAATCTACTGTCTTCTCTTCCATACAGAGAAAATGTGTCCTCTTTTCTATACCAAATGAGTCTACTCATCTCTTGATCCTGTTTCTTCTGACTGCTCTGGGCCTTGTTCCATCAATTACCACTCATTTGCTTGAATCTTCAATTCATTCTCTTTGGCTTCTTATGAGAGTATGTGTAAAGGACACTGATCTACCACTCGGATTCCCTTTCAAGATTGAAGGATTCAGTCCCCCAGATGCCAGGAGTGCTGCTGGAAGATGGCCCTTAGCCATCAGCCTTCTTCAGGAATTGCCTCAGCAGAAGAAAGTAACCTCACTAAAGTTCACGTATTCTTCCCTGGGCAGCTCTCCTCTAACGACTGGGTTAATGTGGGGAATATAAAGACCAGTCCTCTCACCTTAACTTGAGACAACTCTGAAGGGTCTTCTCAGTTTCAGAGCTCCTTAAGTCTTGGCCAAGGTCTTCATTGAGACTGCATCATTGCCCAGCTTCTCCCTCAGTCCAGTCTTGTCTCCTTTCCTTTCCTTGCCTTCCACAAGTTGTTAAACCTGACAGCACTCCCTGATTAACTTCATGCTAATCATCTCAGAGCCTGAATCCCAGGGTACCCTCCTTATGACAGTATGTTTGTAAGACGAGAACATTTAATAATTTGTTAGGTAGTACCAAGTTGCCCTTTCAAAAAGCTGTACAAATTTGCACTCCCATCACCAATGTAGAAAAGTGCCTCTTTTCTACATTGCCTAACTACACCCTAACTGCCACTACTGGATGTTATCAAGTTTTTAAATCTTACCATTCCATAAGTGACAGATGGTGGCTTATTCTTGCTTTATTTGTATTTTTAAAAAGTATGCGTATGAGTAAGAATGTTTTTACATATTATTTACTGGCTATTTATATTTCTTTCCCTTTCATTTGCTTGTGTTATTTGCACATTTTTCTATTGCACAGCCATACATATTGGTAATATACCATATACCATACATATATTTTCAAGTACCGTTTGTATAGTAAGAAAGTTGCAAATAAGTTTCTTCAGTTTGCTGTTTGTTTGGCTTTAAGACGTTCTTCCAGTCATTCAAGTGTTTTGAATTTTTAAAATTTGCTAACATTACCAACATTTTTTCCTATGCTTCTTGGTTTTCTGTCATGCTTAAATTGGCATTTCCCATTCTAAGATTTGGGGAAAAAACACTAATATCTTCTTTAAAACTTAGCTCAAATGCCATTGCTGTCACCAAGATGTCTGTGAGAACCTCGACCAGGTTAACCCCCCAATTCGCCTCTCCCTTTGTATAATATAAATCACACTGCCCATCATATTCTGCCTTAACATTATGGCCATTTTTATTATTCTCCAGACTCTTCTATTGGAATGTAAGTTACTGAGGGAAGGAATTCCATTTTAAATCTCTATGTATGCCCTCCAGCATCTAGAATGACTTGCGTAAAGTCCTACTTAAATATTTATTGAATTGTATTAACTAGTACTGTTAGGTGGCGCTGATACTAAGGGTGAGTGATTTTATATGTATGTATACATACACACATGTGTCTGTATATGTATACATACACGTATATATGTATATTTCACACACATTCTCATCAGCCATAAATTTTGTGAAATTTTGTGACTATTTTAGTGCTTGGATAACTCTTAGTTCTGCCCTCTTTAGACCTGAGCCACACTTACCAAAGGCTGACTGCAAAAACACCACTTGAGAGTGAGGTCTCAGGGCCTGCCAAGTGACAGGTGACCAGAACACTCCTAGCTGAGGAGGCAGATCAAGCAGAGTGGTTCCTAGCAATAGGGGAAGCATATATGAAGCCATGACACAAAGTGGCCATCCTCCCCCAGGGGAAGCAGAGCCCAGCCTCCCAACACCATGACCATCTGCCCCATCAGTGGCATAGATTCCTCCAGGCCGTACTTTCGGCTGGGGAAGAAGTCCCTGATGTTAAGGACAAGATACAGGCAGGTATCTCAACTAGGTCAATACATTGAGTTATCAGCTCAGGTGGATTAGTCATTGCAGTTCCAATGCCCAGTAGTCCTAGTCTCGGATTCCATGGTTTCATTTTCTCCCTTCTCATTCTCTTGAGCCCATTCAAATATGGCTTTCATGCCACCACAACTGCTCCTGCCAAGGTCACTGGTGACATCCACGTGGCTAAACACAATGGCCAGTTCGCATTTCTCACCTCACTGGCCCTGCCAGCAGCATCGGCCTGGTGGATCCCTCTCTACTTCCTGAGGGCTTGATTGGGCTCCCTGGGCACCAGTTTTTCTCATACCTCACTGGATGCTTTATTCTCCTCCTTTTCTGGTTCTTCCTCTGCTTCGTGAGCACTTAACATTGGAGAACCCCCAAAGTACAGTCATTGGACCTATCTTTTCTATCTAGATTCATTTTCTTGATGATCCCAGCCAATCTTATAGCTTTCAATACTGTCTACCTGCTGACAAATTCCAAATTTTATTTCCTCTAACCAGACTTGTAGGTCCAGCTGCCTACTCAACATCTCGCTTTGGATGTCTAACAGACATCTCAAATGTAACATTCCAAAACTGAGCCTCTCATCTTCCCCTTCCCCCAAATCTGCTCCTCTCACAGTCTCTCCATTTCAGTAAATGACAACCCTATCCAACTAGTTACTCACACCAAAAACTCTGGTGTCATCCTTCACTCCTCTCCTTTTCTCACACCCACATTCAATCTGTCAGCAAATCTACTTTTACTATATCTTCAAAATATACTCAGAATCCGAATCCTCCTCACAACCACTCTGCTAACCACCCTGTGCAAGTTACTATCTCTTAAGTGTCTCTCTTTTCTCATCAATAACTGGGGGCAATAATAGCCTATGACTTACAGGGTTCATATGTGGAATGAAAGACACGTAAAGAACTTAGCATAGTGCCGAACAAATTGTTAGTGCTTGGCCAGGTGCAGTGGCTTACACCTGTCATTCCAGCACTTTGGGAGGCTGAGGAGGGAGGATTGCTTGAGGCCAGGAGATCAGCCTAGGCAACATAGTGAGATCTTGTCTCTACTAAAATTCAAAAAAATTAGCCAGGTGTGGTGATGCATGCCTGTAGTCCCAGCTACCTGGGGGACTGAGGCTGGAGGATAACTTGAGCCCTGAAGGTCAAGGTTGCAGTGAGCCATGATCATGCCACTGCACTCCAGCCTGGGTGACAAAGTGAGATCCTGTCCCCCCACCCTCAAATAAAAAAGTTGTTAGTGCTTAATAAATTTTAGGTTTCAGTATTATTTGTGGTCTCTCTTTTCTAGGAGGTTTCAAGAAGATGTGACTAGTAAAGTCAAAGCTATCAGCTCCTTTTCATAAGAACTGAGTTTTTCCTTCAACACATGAAATTTTCATTTTAAAGATTTCGACTGACTGAGCTAAAGAAAAAGAAAAAGAAGTCTAAATTAACCTCAGCCAGTAAAACTGTCACAAATAAGATCCAAATAAAGGGTTAAAAAGCACAATAGCAATTTGAATCATTGGAATTCTTCTATAGCCTGATTAAGAGGAATTTTCAGCTAACCTAAAAAATATTTTAAATCTAAAGTTATATAAGATTGTCACATATCATACTGCATAGCTGTATACAGCCCTAGCTTCACAACCTGAAATAATTTGGGGATATGAGGAAACTCATAGGATGTTTCTACAACAGCAACAGATATAACAGCCATCATTTGTATAAAACAGCCCTATTTTATAAACCCATAGTCCCAACAGATCTATCATCCCAACTAATTAGTAATAGGTAGAAAGATTCTGGAAAGTCCTCAGTGTTATCTGAGATATCAGCAATATATAATAGGCCCGAACCATATAGGAAACATCTTGGGTAAGTGCTCTAATGCATGAATTAAATACATGGATATCACTAATAAGATAAACCATTGCACTAAATAATCAGAAAAATATTTCAGAGCATTCAACTTGTCCTTTAATGCAATCGCTTTGTTAATCTGTGATAAGAAACAGTATTTGAATAGATAAAAGTAGATGAGCAATTTTTCTTACTTTAATGTGTTTGGAAAATCATGTTTCTTCTTTATTCTTTTAGTATGGATCTCTCTCACCATATATATGTGTGTATATGTGTATATATATATTTACATATATATAAATATATGAAACATCTACCACGTGCTGAGTAATGAGGAAACAATAGTAAATTGTTTTTATTACTAAGCTCCTTATAAAAATATTTTGATCGTTTTGAGTATAAGAGCTAGGTAACAGTGGCCTTGGAGTGTTTTAAGTTGGGGGGCGGGGGATAACCCTAATATAAAATCATCAGGAATTGACTGTGCTTAATTTATTAGATTTTCTTTGTCCATATTTAATTATACATTATACTCTGTGGTATTCTTAGAGTGCTATATACAATGTAAACAAATTTAAATATCACATATATGCAAAAAGTTGCTTAGTAAAGGTAAACTCCCATTAATACCTACTGTGGGATCATTTTAGCTGATCCATGTTTACTTTGTATGCTAATTTGATTTATTTATCTGTTTTTTGTAGGAAGTCCTGGCTGAGCAAGATTGGAAGCCCTAGTTCTCGCATTGACCGCACAAACTTTTCTAATGAAAAAACCATCTCTAAACTTGAATACTCTAATTTTAGTATTAGATACTAATAGAAGAGAAAAATTGTAATGCTTATACTGCACAATAGATACTATATGTTCTTAAGACTATGTATACTAGAATAATAGTAGTAGAGTAGGGTGAAAAAGGAACTTTCCGTTCTGAAAGCTAAGCGACTGTGTTACTAAAAATGTCTGACACTGAAATAATTTTACTCAACTATGTTTTCAACAAGCAAAAATGTAGTATGCTAAGATTAAAATGTCATTACAAAATATTTAGTATGAACAATTTAAACTTGTCTCATGGAATCTTTAATTTCAATGAACATTACAGCATATATGACATATGTTATTTGGCGAGACATAAAATAAAGTTAACCATTTAAAAATTATTTTCACATACTGTTGTCTGTGTCGAATTATAAAATCCTCTGAATAATTTGTTACTACAGTTGAGTAATTTGTTATTAAACTCTTTAAAAAGAACCAGCAATTAGAAATAAATGTATGTGATGATCAATATAACCATAAAATATTATCAACAAAGAGTTTTTAAAATTCTGGTTAATGTGAACATTATTCAGTTGGAGCTACTTAATGCCTTCTATATTGCTGTGTACAGTGAACATTCAGGCTGAATGATGGTGGCTAACAAGAACTCACAATTTCAGTATAGCAAGCATCAAGATTTTCAACCACCACCCACAACAGATATCCTATTAACCAGAAAAGAAACAGAGTCTAAATGAATCATACAATACTGTCCCCTAAATTTGGCCTATCACTTTGGAAGCTTCACATGTAACTGATAAAGCAACGGAGAATATAAAGGGGTAAGTTTTTTTCTATAGCATAAAATTATATTAAAAGAGGCAGACCTTTAATGCAAAAGACTGGGGAATTTCCAGTGTTGTAGGCATATACTTGCACATATTCCATGATTCTCAAACTTTTTATAGCAATGGAATCCTTCCTTAAACCAACATTTTATATAGAATTGAATACACAACTTTTTAGAAAAGCAAAAACAAAGCACAGCTGGTGTAATTAAAGTGGGGATAGGCATCCCCAGAGCCTTGCACACTTGGTGTCCCTCTCTCTACTTGGACAATTTCAAATACCTTGCTAGTACACTTTGAAAACCACTGTTCTATTTAAGGAACAAATCTCTATTGCTATCCTCCATGGCCTGGAGAACGAATGCAGGCCTCTTTCTCTTCTACCTACTGCAAGATAAGAAATGAGGAGAGATGAAGGGGGCGGAGTGAGTTTGTTCATTGGAAAGGTTAACTCCTTGATGATAATATTGAGATCAAATGTATATAAAACAACATGACATTAGGGAATGACTTTCCAAATAAACAAAGGACTAAAGAAGTTTCCTGTTATTTTAATACCATCATCATGTTAAGTATTACATGTGTGAAATGTCACACAGGAGAATCTATTTAAATATTATTTGGATTTTGCTCTCCTTCTGTTTCCCCACTCCTGATTCAAGAAAGGTTGACAAGTCTTTGTGTTCCCTTATTTCAGGGAAAGCTTTGGGTGCCAGATCCCCCTGAAGACAACCTTTCTTCTATAATTTCATTTTAAAGAGGGCATTATCCTGTGGGTCGAAGAGAAAGACAAATGCTGGGCTCTTAGGGGGTAAAAGAGAAGCAGAAGTTGTGAGAACTAAAGAAGACAAGGAGATTATCCAAGACTTTGGGAAGGAAACAAAGGCTGTGGATTTCCCAAGTCCTGGAGACCTGCACCTTTCTCCCCAGTGGCACCTCTACCTATAGCTAAACCTGAAAAGGAAGCAGCTGTAGTTCCCAGAGAAGCCAGATCCCAGGCCCAGGGGCTCTCAGCATTAGCAAGATTCCTGTCCCCATAAATGCTTCAAAGCATCCTACAAACACCAGGGTGGTTACAAGGGGCCACGGTGGTTTGAACAGTGATCATAGCAACTGGTATGCGCTGGACACCAAGAGGTCTTTCCTTAATATTTTCTCTGCATATGACTCTTTGCATGTTCTTTCTGAGAGAGGGAACAAAGCACCAGGGATGACTAAGATACCCACCTCCAGATAGGATGAAGTTTGAAGCAGGCTCGCTTTGGAGAAAATAAAATAGACATTTTTTTCCCCCGCAAGTTTGAAAACAAAACCTGTATCTCTCTACACAGAGAAAGGCTAAGTGATTGAAAAAAATGTATGATCTCAGAAATGACACCAATATGTTACTTCTTATTATCCTGATATCCTTTGGTAGTTCCCTTCCCTGCTCTCTCTATAAGAAAATCACACATCGCTAGAACAATCTTCTAACTACACCAAATGAATCACACTAGTCAAGATTACTTAATGATTAGTACATAACTAAATTCTATTATTGGATGAAAAATGTACATTATAATTGAAAAATAGGTGTTCAGGAGTGGGTAGAAAGCAAGAGAAATCAGGATAAAGCAATATAAAAATATGGGGACCAGGTAACACATCTCAATGGTAAACTTAATATGTCAAATTTCATATTGAATTTATAGTGAATTTTTAATTTACATATATTTTAGATAACAAATTTTTATACATTTATTTGTATCAGAATTAGACATTTTAGAAACCAAGAAAACAATTAAGCAAAAACAGATACCTACATTTTAGTGACTATCAACCAGCGATATCAACACTCCATGTGCCCATGCTGTTCCTCTGAAGATGCAGCGTATCAGAATTAGGGGAGAAGTGTGATTTCTAAAATCATATTATTTTTCACATTTATACAAAAATATCTATCTTTTTGTTTTTGAGACAGGATCTTGCTCTGTTGCCCAGGCTGGAGTGCAGAGGCACAATATTGGTTCACTGCAGCCTCAACTTCCTGGGCTCAAGTGATCCTCCCACCTCTGCCTCCCAAGAAGCTAAGACTACAGGTGCATGCCACCATACTAGCTAATTTTATTTTTTGTAGAGGCGAGGTCTCACTATGTTGCCCAGACTAGTCTCAAACTCCTGGACTCAAGTGATCCTCCTGCCTCAGTCTTCCAAAGTGCCAGGATTATAGGCGTGAGCCACTACTGTGCCCGGCCTTTTAAAAAAATTTTGAGATAGAGTCTTGCTCTGTTGCCAGGCTGGAGTGCAGTGGCACGATCCCGGCTCACTGCAACCTCTGACTCCTGGGTTTAAGCGGTTCTCCTTCCTCAGTCTTCCAAGTAGCTGGGACTATGCGCACCACCACGCCCAGCTAATTTTTGTATTTTTAGTAGAGACGAGGTTTCACCATGTTAGCCAGGATGGTCTCGATCTCTTGACCTCGTGATCCACCTGCCTCGGCCTCCCAAAGTGCTGGGATTACAGGCGTGAGCCACTGCACCTGGCCAAAATGCTGAGTTTTTAAATCAAGAAGTTCAACAGAATCTTCTCGACTGGAGGAAATGTGCCAGAAAAAAAAAAAAAAAAAAGACTCTTTACCGGTAGGGCACATAGGAAAAACAGGGGTGTAGGAGGAACGACAGGGGTGTAGGAGAGAAATGAGATTTTTATCTGAGGAAGGGTGTGGGCCTCTCAGGTTGAGGAGAAGCAATGCAAATTTCATCCAGGAGTGGGAATCGTTAAGTTCAGGGAGTACCCTCTTGCCTGAAGAATGCAGCATAGCACCTCACAGCACAAAGGCAGAAAACACTGAAGAAGGCACGAACAGGCAGTGGGTGGAGACAGACAGCAGTTATCGCTTAGTTTGACTTTGCTGCAAGCTGGTCACCATTTTTTATGACTAAGTATTTTTAACTTTGTCTACTGAAGGAATTTTTCAAAAGCATGTATCACTAAACTCATAATTAGGGACAACAGAAAAACAGAATTCACTTCTAAAAATTAGCTTGTAGTTGAAAGTATACAGGCCACAAATGTATTTTATACAGTTTATCTCCTTTGTGTTGATAAAAAATGTTATCTGTTTGGTTAAAAGGAAACATTTTAATGTCTGGAACTAATTTGAGGAGCTCAAAACAGGCAGCATGGTATAGTAGAGAATGCTCTACTCTAGGAAGCAGAAGACTGCATTCTGGCCCAGGCCATCCATTGATTACCTGTGTGTCTCAGGTTCCTCAACTGCAAGTCAAGAAGTTAAACTAAATCAGGATTTTGTACAGGATTCCACTGAGCCACAGGACTCCCAGGAGGTGGTACCAGGAGGGCTACAGAAAGGTAGTCAGAAAGATGGGCAATTTGACCTTGGCTCAGGACCCCGATCCCTGCTCCAATCAGAGTTGCTCCACCCCCATCGCTTCCATACATTAGGATTGTCCATAAGACATCTTTTGAGAAGAATTCTGCCTCAAAGAAATCAAAACAACTACAAAGACACTGAATTTAATATCTAGGGTCTTCTTTTCTAAATGTCTATAAATGCTGAACTCAAATGCAGTTCCTATTCTCTGCATTACTTCTGTCAAGCCCATGTGGTATGTATACTTTACCTTAAGCTATTTTTGTTGAAAACATGCATAATTCATGAAAAGTACTATTGGAAAAAAAAATTCTTCTTCATAATGGCTCCCATAAAGGTCCACAGTGGCTAAGGTGGTTAAAGTCTTTTTTTTTTTTTTGAGACAGAGTCTCACTCTGTCACCCAGGCTGGAGTACAGTAACATAGTCAGGGCTCACTGCAGCCTCAACCTCCTGGGCTCAAATAGCCTTCCTGCCTAAGCCTCCTGAGTAGCTGAGACTACAGGTGCCACCAGTAATCCAGCCTACTTTTTTAAAAGTTTTTTTTGTAGAGACAGTGTCTTGCTATGTTGCCCCGGCTGGTCTCAAACTCCTGGCCTCAAGCAATTCTCCTGTCTTGGCTTCCCAAAGTGCTAGGATTATAGATGTGAGCTGCCATGCCCTGTCAGCTAAAATATTTCTGAAATTAATTTTCTGTTGTCTTTCATTCCTATTCTTATCTTACTATGATAAAAAAAAAATGCAAGAGGAAATACACATATATAATTTGTGGGTTAATCAAAAAGTGTTTTATAAGCATGTCTTGGAGATCTTAACCTAACATTTAGAATCATACGTAAGAACTACTTTTCATTTTCTTAACTAGTTCAAATGGTTTTGAATAAAACTGACATCTGAAAAATTTTTAATTTTAGAATTAAAAATTCTAGTCACTGTGTGATCTCTTTAGCTGGTTTTTCTATAGAAATAGAGTGTTTTTTATTTGCCTTTTAGAGAGCCTGACTTATGCTTTATTCTCTGCTGGAAATATCAGTATACATTTTTGGTTGGATGTTCAAGGTACTTCTTTCATCCTCAAACCACATATTTCTTTTATTAGTTTTATTTTCCATGTTGGCAAAATGGACTTTGCAAGTAGCAGTGAATACAAGCCTGTAGTACAGCTTTTTCTCTCATTCCCATTTT